ACTTGGCATCAAACATGTGTCTAGGTGACTTGGCATCAATGGGGCAGCAACTAATTATGAAAGGTCACATTTGTGTGAAACAACCTTTCATCATTTGAGCTACTTCCCATGAGTTTGAGCTGAAGATGAGCTGGCCATAGATGAATTGCATGAAGATGAGTCATAGGACAGCTCCTTGTGAAAGGTCACTTCTCGGATTGGCAACTCTTCGCGAAAAGGTACGAATTCACAAAATTTGACCTAGACCATATTTGTAGTGCTCTGTGTGGTGAAGATGATGGTGCAACTCTCCAGCTGAAATGAAGTCTCTAGCTAGCTCAAAATTCCAGCTCAAGTGAGCTATGAGCTCGGGGGTCAGCTGACAACTTTTCACCATTTGTTCTTCATGATCTCCCAAGTCTTCCTATGTAAGGTTTCCTAGCTCATTGACTTCAATTCTAGCTTTAAATCAGCTCCCATGATGTGGTCGAACATGTACCTACAAAAGAAAGCATTTATAAGCTAAGTAATATAAGATATAAATATGTGGTTCATAATAATAACTTCATACATTCATAATATCATCATCATAACTATAAATATAATGTATGTAAGCCATTATCATAACTATGGTATAAAGAAAGATTAAGTTAAAGAAAATCCCCCTTTGAACATTGAGAAAGGTTGGAGATGCAAGTCCATTTTTGATGCTTAATCGGATCACATCAGAAATTGTAGCTGAGTTGCTTAATTCCTTGAGAATCCTAGTCGTCTTAGAGGATGACCATGGGCCTCCTGATGGGTTCGACATCCTCTTACTTCTTGGATTAGATTTTTCCATTGATATTTTCTTCATATTCAACACCCTTTCTATAACCTTTGCTTGCCTGGCTAGCTCTGAAAATATTCTTGGAGGATCTGTCGCTAATTGGGTATGTATATCAAGATGAAGCCCCTCCAAAAATCTGCAGCACCTCAAAGATTATGTGGATACCAATTCTGGAGCGTACCGACTTCGTCGGAGGAAGTCTCTTTCATAGAGAAAGACAGACCTATTACCCTGAACCAACTATGAGAATTGGAGTTATAGATCATCCATGTCAGCTTCCCCAATATATTTCTAATGTAATTATTTCAGGAAAAATTCTTATGTCAGTTGTTCCAGTTGTAAGGTCATCTCGACTGTCTCCCACCAATCAATGCATCTCTCTTGAGAAGAGAGATTGCACACTCTAAGTTCCCTTCTAGCGTCAGATGTAACTGTCTCAAAGTTTGTTGAGTTTCTTGTAACCATTGATCTACCGATAAGGTGTCATCCTCACTATACCCATGAAATTCCACAGTTTTGTACCTCCTGAGATTTTCTATTGGCGTTTCAGGTAACGGGACCGGAGGAAGGGAGCAACATGTGTAGGTTGTACCTATGGGATAACTCTCATAATTCTTTGTATGATTGCATTTAAGTTTTGGAAGTACGTAGTTTCAGCTACCACGATGTCTCCCTCAAGTCCCGCTTCCCAAAATCCAGGACAAACTTATCTTCTGAGTCATTATAAAGGGGCGCTTGGCTCCTATTGGAATCACTAGTTATCTCATTATCTCCACAATAATGAGAATGAAGCATAATACCATCATAATCCCAACATAAAAGAGTACGCCCAACTCTAAGGGCTTGTATCCATGTATTCTCACACATAGCATCAACACTGGTCCTAGGACCGACTCAACATAACACTCTGATACCATAAAATGTAACACCTTAAACCCATTCAACCTTAAAGTATCACATGATAAGGTCCCGAAAGACCCATTAATCATATATATAATACATTTCCTTTAACGTTCAACAATTTATCTTAAAAAATGGTACATAAAAATGACTTGTTTTAAATTTTAATTTCAAAAATAGAACTCTATTTATATTCAATGTTAATTCAAAAAGAAAATATTAACCCCAAAATATTTTACGACAAAAAATACTGTAATGACCAACACCATATTGACTACATGGAACACAAAAAAAAAACACTTGTTAGTTTTAAAAAATGAAAATAATAGAGTTAGTCTACTTACTAGAGAAATCAGATCCAAAATTCGGTTACGTGTGGGAAAGGATTAGCACTCCCACAATGGTTTTTCGGTATCTAGTTAATTATGTTGTTTTCTTGGAAAAGAAAAGTATAGGTTCGAACATTAATTTAATCAATGGTCCCTTAGAAATAAAATTCACTTATACCTCTCCTCTAAATTATAAAAAATTAAAAGAGTAAACATAATAGTAAATAACTAAAATAAACAAAATAAATGCTAAACTAGAAATGACAGACTAATCTAATAATACAAACATTAGAGGTGAAATAAAATAAAATTTAATATATACGAAAAGGGTTTAAATTAAATAAATGTAATATGAAGTCATAAATAAAAATAAATCAGGGATTAAATTGATAAAAATTAAAACTAAGCATCAATATTAAGATTTAATTGCAAAGAAATTGTCTAAATTGAATCACACGTCAAAAGAAGGGGGACTACAAAAAGAGTTTATCCAATTTTATAAAAAAAATATAGGCCAGAGAGTTAAACGATACATTTTGGGGTATAAATAACCCTCCCAAAATGATGATGTTTTGGGGAGGGAATAAATAACCATTTTGTGGTTTATTTTTTCATTTCATTATTCTTCTAGAGAGCTTTTCTCTACAAATGAAAATGAGAACTGCCGCTCACCGCCACCGATCGGCCGTGAAAAGGCCGAAAATCATGAAAAAGCCAAATTACTCGGGGTTGCTTGTATCGATCTTGGGGTTTAGATATGTGTTTCATTTCTCTAGAAAACGTTCTGATTGCCGTGAAAAGAACGAAAATTGTTTGGATTTTCTCACTCCTATCCGTCGCCGTCCATAATTGGATCGTGTCTATTTTTTATTATGTTGTTTGCGGCTATATGTTTTTCCTTCTCACTATTCAGATTCGTCAAAAGAGGGTCTAAACGCTGTTGATGGGGGTTCGATTGAAAAGGAATCTTCTCTCTTCTTCTTTCTTTGTTTTACTTCCTTTCTCACATTTATTTTTCATTTTTTGCAGGTTATTCGAACAGGAAAAATGCAAATAAAGAAAATAAAATAATAGTGGAAAAGAAATTTTATTAAAAATTATGGTTTTGAATATCCATTGGTGTTGAGTGTCTCCTCCATCTCTCTCTCTCTCTCTCATGCTACTTTATACAAGGAGAAGCTTCCTTTTTTACAATCAGAACCAAGAGATTTCAAGAATATCTTTTACATTTAATCTCATATTTGATTGTAATCTTTCAATATTTTCTTGCCAAAATTGCTTCGAACAAAATGGGGGGGGGGGGGGGAACGATCGTCCGACGCTTGGTGGAGAAATCTCGAAGGTTGCCACGCGTGGAATGCTTCTTGTCAGTGTGTGAGTTGCAATGCTCGTTGGTTGGATTTCATGACTGACGCTTGGGTCATTTTGTAATTAGGTTAACTTGTAATTCGGACCAACATAAATAAACCACATTAATACCCATATTAAAATAATAATAGTAATAATAACGCTAATATGAAGAAGAATAAATAATACTAAATAACACTCATTTTGTCTCATAATTTGTGTCTCGTATTAACTATGCATATAGATTTAGGAGATATATGCATAGTAAGAGAAATGATAAAATTATCCCTAAAAAGTGATTGATAGACTTATTTTGATAGGCATAAAGAGTGGGAGATACAAGGGTAAAAAAGAAAAATACAAGTGTTGTGTTATTGTTTGTTGACTTTTCTAATAGAACATTTTGAATGAAATAATTTTAAAAATCAGGAAACATATTTAGTGGGACGAAGAGAGTATATAGAAAAATATATATTAGTAATATATAATAATAAATACTAATAAGAGTAATAATAATAATATATAAAGATAATTCTAATGTAAAATAAATAGATAATAATAAATAATAATAACATAAAAAAGATAATTTTAATGTAATAAATAGATAATAATAATAATAAGTAATAAAAGTAATTTGACCAATGAGGGTCTGCAATAATCACTATAAGTTAAAAACAAAATGTTAGTGGCGAAATTCAATATTATATGTTGAGGGAGCTATTTTATAAAATCTGTATTTATTAATTAATATATTTTAATATATAAATTATACATTAAAGTATCTTATTAATAAAAAAAATTATAAATTCTTAAAATTCATTTGTTCACATAAAAATAAATAAATAAAATATATCGATAACTAAAATTGTGTCTAAATTTTTATTTTTAGAGATAAAAATATAATAATAATGATAGGTCGAAGTAGTTTGATGACATATATCTTTTGTAGAAAATACAAAATAGTTCTATTTTGTAATTTGAATCAAACATATTTATTTTTATTCGTATACCGAAACAAACACATCGTTTATTTGAATAAAACAAACAAACAAATAAATAAGGAGCAGATTTCAAAACATATTAAGTTTGGGAATCAACTTTTTGTTTCTTTGTTTGTGTTTAGATCTTACTTCTATCAAAGTAAGAATTTGGAGAAGTAAATGCGACGAAATGTTTGAGGGGTTTTGTTCCTTGGTTGAAACGAACACGATGGTGGTTTCGGCTCGTCGATCAGAGGTTGGACGGCGAGTAGATCGAAGATCGAAGGAGGGTTGAAGGGAAGGAAAAACTGGGAATTTTCTGCTGAATGATACGGGAAATGGGGTTTATATTATCTCTAAAAGAAAAATGGGTAAACCAAGAGTTTAGCCACTGAACTTCCTTCACTTCTTAACACGGTCTGCCAACTTTAAAATCTTACAATTTAATCTATTATTTCTTTCAAAATACCAATTAAATCCACCCTTATAATCTCTTAAATTTAGCCCCTAAATTAGGGTGTGCATCAAACACGTAAGTCCTTGACATCATACGCCTGTCGTAATTGAAGAACATGCTATGCCAGTCGGCATTTTCCGGCATCGACTCAATCGGAGGGAAAAGCCGTGACGATGACCCTAACAGTCCAGGATTTGGTATTTCGCCATTCGAGCCACGACTGAAGCTGCCCAACTGTTAAGGAAAGCAGACAGGGTTGCTCCATCGAAGATCTTGTGGAAAACACACAAACCTATTGCAATCCCACCGCAATCAAAGATGTTGACTTGAACAGCCAATTGGGGTGCTGTTGTTGAGTCTTGAATATAGCGAAAGGGTCGACAAGGAAGCAATCGGTTCATTGCCTCTAGTTTCTGAGTTGGCTCAACGAAATCAGATAGTCGACCTTTCACCTTGGTTTCAACATAAGGAACTCCCTCGTCGAAATTAGTAATAAAAAGGTTGTTCTTCACCCGACCAGCAGCAGGGTAAAACTGAGTCAAAGCTTTCGAGAGCGATTGTTTTAGTTGGTCCGCGAATTGGGAACTGTCGATATTGGAATCACTAGGTTTAGCATAAAAGAGGAGTACCGGAGTGTACATTCCGGGAGTGAGTTGATCTAAAAGGGAAATCTTGAAGGGTTTAAAGAGATGAAGTTTTGAAGAGGAGGGCTTAACCATCTGGTTTGAAGTAATATGAACTTCCATTTCTGCAACAATTGAAATGAAACAGTATAAAGTGAAAGCTTAAACGTGTGATGCAAAACTGGCTTTCTTGTGTTCTATTAAAGTTCAGGTTCAATGGATTTTATACTACTTTTTCTATTTTAAAAAATTAGTTCGTGCTAGTCTTGCCCCGTATAAGAAAACTTGGCAGAACAGGAATCTGTCTTTTTTGTCAGATTCGTATCTAAAAATAAAAATTATCCTCTCAAGTAAACTAGGGAAAATAGCTGAGTAAATGATATATGAAAAAACATTTCCAATATAATCAAACTTGGGGATTATTTTTCTAGGGTGTTGTTCAGTATCAACTCAAATACAAAATTGTTCAGTACCAACTCAAAGACATTAGGTGTTTCACGCGTCTTCAAGTCAAATATGAAGACTCCATGACTGCATAGCGTCTTCAGACAAATAAAGAATACCCCACGACTACATAGCGTCTTCAGACAAATGGAGAAAACCCTAACAGTGCACGGCGTCTTCAGACTAATAAAAAGTCGTAGTTCAAGAAATAATATGGTGGATGTCTTATATGGGAAAATCATTTTTCTTACAACCTTATATGGATGAGGAAGCCAAGTAAGCTACTCCTAGAGACTTATTAATAAAACAACTCCCACTTGCATTATAAGTTGAAAACATAACTAAAAATTTGATAGCTTATTTTTATTTTTTCTTTATTTTAAATAATTTGATGTGATTATAAAATAATATATGTTTAGAATTCAGGACTTCAAAGGAGAACAACATTTTATTTAACCATTAAGGTCACCTGATGGCAGTGGCAGGGCTAGCTTACAATGAGTGATGTCATATGAAAACACAAAATTTATTGAAAAAATTCTTTATAAATTTAATATAAAATTTAAAAAAATTAAATTAACATATTTTTAGAAGAATATTAACACTCACTAATAGCGATTGGTTCAAGTGGTTAGCAATTTGATATCGTTTAAACAAAGTCTCGAGTTCGAGTCCTTGTGCATGGCTAGGAGACTCATCCACCAAAGTTAGGTGTGCGATGTGGGTCGGTCTAAATTAATAGTCAAGTCGAAGCCTTGGAACCGAGAGGGCAACAAAAAAATATATTGATACTCTTAAATATAAATTGATATTCATTGTTAATTTTTATCTATTGAAAAAAAATCCTTATAGAATTTCTAAATATAACACCTAAAATAAATTTTCTAACTTTATTCCTTACGAGTTATATTTATATATTTATTAAAGCTTTTCTTTGATGATTTAATCTATCTTAATAATGATTTATAAAAGTAACTTGCTCGCACGAACAATATATTTATTAAATCTTTTCATTTATGATTTAATCTATCTTAATAATGATTTATAAAAGTAACTTGCTCGCACGAACAATATTTATTTAATATTAAATAGACAAAAACGATTGATTTTAAAAACATTAAACGTGTTAATGTTGTTCAATTTTTTCTATTTTATTAGTAGATCTTTGACATTTTTAGCTCCTAACATCAGTGTTTTATTTAAGATAAACGGACTATTCATATTGTCACCTTATTATAGGATAAGTTAGTTAAATCATCTGAGCACAAAATGTTATAAATTGATTATTTAAATTAAAAAATCATAAGATAATCATTAAAATTTATCTTTTAATTAAAAAATTATTATAATAATTAATACAATAACATAGTAACAAATTTAGTTTTAAATGTTTACATATTATTTTAATTTAAGATGAGAATGATGAAGGAAACAATGATAAAAAGGGTTGGCCAAGGGATTGAACTTGTAACACCCATATTTAGGGGTTATATTTTAGAAATTATAAAGTGGTGGATTTAATTGGTATTTTGGAAGAAAATTTAGGATTAAATTATAAAATCGTAAAGTTGGCAGACCATTTTAAGAAGTGCAGAAAGTTCAGTGACTAAAGTCATGGTTTACTCATTTTTATTTATGAGAGAATTTATAACCCCTCCTCGTGCTGCAGAATTCATTTTTCCCAGTTTTCTCTCCCGTTGACCAAACTTTCAGCTCCGATCTACTCGCCGTCTGACCTCCGATCGACGAGCCAAAACCACCATCGTGTTCGTTGTCGACCAAGGAACAAAACTCCTCAAACCTTTCGTCGTGAATCGTCGCCGTTCGTCGTTAATTTCAGTCGGAAGTATTGTCGGTAACAACTCGATTTCAGTTGGTTTTTCATCGATTCACGACGATCCGACGATCCGTTTACGACACCTCCCGCACCATCATGTTCCTTGTTCCGTTCCGAGTTCGCCAGTATCATCCTTCGTCTCCGACGGCAGCGGTGCGTGAGGAGGTGAAGCGGACAAAGTTTTTGATTTGTTGAAATTGAGCTCTCTGCCGTTCAAAAATTTTAACCGAGCTTTGTAAGTATCTTGAAATCGCTCAAAATAATTTTTGGATTTTTTTACGTGATTTATAGGACACCGGAGGGGGTCCCACGCGCCCGCACGCGCCGCCACTGCGCGTGGGGATGGTCCAAATGACCGGTTATTTTACCAATTTCACTGGTTTGACCAGTTACAACCCGACCCGACCTGTTGACCGGCGTTGACCACTGTTGACCAAAACTTTGACCAGCTCTGACCGGGCATTAAACGACCTTTGACTTCGACCGAGTATACCTATCCTGACATTTTTCGACGTTCCGAATCCTATTCCGCAGTCCGTTTTTCGAAATTTAGACCCGAAGGCCTTGAAATTGCTAGTCAAACCCGTTGACTTTGATTTTGACCGAAAATTCCAAATTTTTGAAAAGTTATATTTTATGCTTTCGACGTGCTGAATCCGAATCTAAAGTCTGTTTCGCTAAATTCGAACTCGATAAGCTGTTTTTCACTGATTTATCACCCGATTCGATCCGTTTATCGCAATTAAGCTCCGTTTTTTTATATAATTTATGTTGATATGTATCTAAGGAAATATTGGAAGATGATTTCAAGATCGAGGGCGTTCGAATTGAATTTTTATGGTCGATCAGTTTGGCATGGAAAATCGAGGTAATACTTTACTACCTCTTTATGCTTTATGGAACATGTTGATATTGGTAAATGCATGAATAAGATAATGTTGGTCACTTTTGTAGAGTTGATTAATTTATACACTCGATATGAATGTGGTAGAAATTCGGTAACTAAATATGGATCGAATGACTAATATAAGAGATTGAAAGATTGTTAGAATTAAATTACAAGTTTGTGATTAGTGATAAAGAAATCAGACATGGATTTGGAAATTATATTTTATATCATCAAAGGTTAAATGTTAAAGGTACTTGGATGGGAAATTATGAGAATACTTCGGTAGGGTAAAATTACGAAATTACCCTTATATTGGAAAATGATAAGAATTGTCCCTGGAAGTGGATTAATAAATCTGATATTGATCTGATAAATATATTGATGTGCATAAGAAATGTTAGTTTTACTTGGAAATTATGGATAACCGGTTTTTAACCCCAAGGGGGTTTATGCAAGATAATAGAAGTCTGTTAAGGGAATTATTTCAAGATCAAAGAGTGTTCAAGAAAGCAATTTGTAAATACCTTAAGAGGTAGAATAGTCTGATTTAACCCTGAATGAGAAAATACTTAGAGGATTCGTACTTAACTCGATTAAGTACGGATTTGATTATTAAGATCCTGACTTAGTGCAGGAAAATTCCTGATATTCCGTTTGTAAAATCTGAGAAGGCACTTGACCCGGAAATATCCGAGTTATGAGTAAATACCTGAAGAACAATTTGTCGGGGGTGTTCTGTTGTCAGAATTGTTCGAAAGGACTGAAATAAATGATAAGATTGAATTTAATAGTAAGATCAGACAGAAGGAAATGATTAAAGTACACTGAATCTGTACAATGACCAAAATACCCCTGTAATGGAAATGACCCAAGGATATCACCAAGCTCAGGAATGATTGGATATCCTCGAGCTCTGAAATAAATTGAATAAAACTGAACACCAAAATTACCAAAATAACCTTATGGCCTAAACTAAGTAAATACCTTGGATTAATTAAGGAATCCAAATAAGCATAGGTATTGGACTACCTTTAAAAGTTATGGAACATAACTTAAGTGAGCCGATCAACTTTAATAATATGTCAGTACCTGAACGACATAGATATTACTTGAATGCTTGTTCGTCTACTTAAGTTTAGCTCAATGATAATTTTGGAAGTATTCAGCTTCGGTACTAAGAATTGGATATTTGTTCAACAAATCAACCACGAAGACCAAACTGAACTGAACGGAAGTACAATTGTATCTAAAATTCAGAAACGTCCGGAATTACTCTGGAAAATCCCGAAGTAACTGGAATAGACTTGAATGCTAAATGAACTAAGTAACCTCAACCACTAAGGATTAAGTAAGTGATGTGAATGAGTATGGAAAAGTTAATGAACATACATGATGTAACGTTCTTATGGACATTGAACTACAAATCAAGCACGTCAGCATTTCATGATATAGTGGAAGCGTGGACATGAAATAAAGACATTGGAAGATTTATTCAGCGATGATTCCAAAGATTATATATATACTAGAATTTGTGGTATTAAAATGTAAATACCCTGTAATGACAATGAATTGACCAGTCGATAATCATTAATTCTGGGAGATATTCATCTGAAGTTGTTTGATAATGAAATCAATCGACATAGACTGTAAAAGTACTGAATCTTCATTTATTCCTTATCAGCCAACTCACATTCTGAATAACTGGTGATTTTGTCAGTTAATGAACTCTTCCCATGGTGATTCGAAATTCCAATATTCTATCAGCATACTGAAGATCCGTGTTTCTCTGCCTTATAAGATTATCCAGTCCCTATAAATAATATCCATAAACTCTGGTGTGTTCCCTACTCACATGAATATTTTATCTGATTTTCGATTTGAATTCTGATCTGATACTTGACATGAATTCTGATCTGATATCTGACATGGATTATGATCTGATACTTGACTTGG